AAAGAGAATTGTTCCAAAGATCCTCTAAAACTATTTAAACATTGTAAAGTAATTCCAATACATAAAAAAGTAGAATATAATTTATTAGTAGAACAATATTTTCGGACTGAAATTCAAATCCCAATTGAACATAAACTTACAACTAGGAGCGTAACAAATAAAAAATTGTCGACCCCCGATTATATCAACGTCTATGGTAAGCGTACGTCAGAATATATAATTCCAACATTAATAAATAATTTACCTACTGATATAAAAAATAATATAAACAACAAAAACATAAAAAATATACTTAAAAATCATTATCTAAAATCCTAAGTCTAATAAAATTATAACGCGTTTGTGCACCCTGTATATGACGGTATGAGCGAGCTCACCAATTTGCTGTAAACAAAAAAAAAAGTATGTAACTTACCTACCGTTTCATAGCGTAGTACCAAAGTGTCTGGACAAACCCGCAATGGGTTTATAGACACTTTTATTGTAAATTTGTATTTTATTCCTTGTTTATATAAATAAATAAAAAAATAAAAAAAAAATAATCTAACCCAGCTTTTAGGTTAGATCCTAATTTAACTTATAAAATTGTTGACACCAGAGACTCATCCGGTGTTCTTCCAGACTATGTTCTACATCTACGTCAAATTTCAATAAGATCCATGCAGTCGTTTTGAAGATACCTTCTAACAAACATACATCCATCTTTCCAAACATTCGCATTTATGATATTAGTAAGATATAAGAAATTAATAGTCAACGAATTAAAAAAAATTGAACGAATTTTCTCGCCGTCTCCTTCATTTAAGCAAGAGAAAGAGAAACAATGAAAGAGATTTAATAAATTCCAGTTTGATACCTTCACGCGCTTTCGAGAAAAAGGGTCTGGACAAACAGATAGACGGACAACAAAGTGATCCTATAAGGAGTACGTGTTTTTCCTTTGAGGTACGGAACCCTAAAAATAGCTACAAATTCTTTCATATCTTTGTTAAAGCTATAATTTTCTCTTCCTTACTAATTTTAATTGTATTTGAAATCCGCTATCCGCTTATAGTGTGTCCATAAACTTAATTAGGGGTATGGGGGTGAGCAGTGGCCCGAACAGGCTCATATGCCCCCGACACGACTGACCGATTTCACTAAACACGTCGATATCTTAACATAAGCTATACATATATATAAAAGAAAGTGGTGTTAGTTACACTATTTATAACTCAAGAACGGATTTACCGATATGCCTGAAAATTGGTGAGGAGGTAGCTTAGAGCCAGGAGACGGACATAGGATACTATTTATTCATTTTTTTTTCGAATTTATGCCTCGAAGAGCTGCTTTTTATCTAACTTACTTATATTATAAATGCGAATGTTTAGATGGATGGGCTACACTAATTAAGATTTTTTTATATATGCACGCGACGGAGTCGCGGGCGACAGCTAGTTGTATATAAATAAATACTCTTCATATAAAGGATTATTAAAAGAAATAACCTTATCGTAAACAACACTCTGTTGCTCTTTGACACATTCTTATGCTTCATATTATCTTTGAAACAACTGACACTTTTAGACTAAAGGTAACATCGGATTACGTAAAATTCCGTCAAAAAATATTCCATCTGTTGTAAAATAAGTTCAATAATTAAACAAATTAGATATTCTCTTTAGAAATTACATAAATTTATACATACTGTACTTTATACAAGACTAAAATATGAAAAACAATAAACAATTGCTATCGATAATTATGCTTAATTGAATAATTGCTATTTTTATTTGACAGGCGTTTTTTATATTGCGTTAAATAATTGTAGTCATTCAATATTTGTAATTATTTATATAAAAAAACATGTTTTATGGCATATTATTGCTTATTTATATTTATATATTTACATGTAATATTATTAGAGACGCATATTGTTTGCTTTTGCATTAGTGAGTCGTATTTACAAGTCGTAAATCTACCTACTACTAAGTAAATATTACATAAAAAATATTGAATAGGAAACGCACTTTCCTTGTCAGTTTGTGTGTCACGCGTGTTTAAGTTGTTAGGTAATCAAGTAAGAGATCTCTCTTAGTGACCTCATCTTAAAATGAGGACAATTGATTAAAAAACTGACACTTATATCCTATACATGACGCATATGTAACAAAATGGTAATGTAAAATTATACTCGGTCGCCCGCGACTCCGTCCGCGTTATTTAAAATAAACATAATTAGTAGCCTATGTGTTCTTCCAGGTTATGTTCTATATTTATATCAAATTTCATCGAAATCCGTTCAGCCGTTATAGAGATACCTTCAAACAAACATCCATCTAAACATTCGCATTTATAATATTAGTAAGAAGTAAGATTTTATTTAACAAATACTACATGTATTATACACGCCATCTATTGATAAATAGTGGCATGAAATTGTCTTAAAAACTATACTAATATTATTAAGAAGTAAGATTTGACTACTGAACAGATTAGAAAAATTCTTTTACTGTTTTGAAGTTACACTATTCCCGGGTGACGGGCTATTTTTATATCTACATTTATATTTCATTCCGCGCAGACAAAATCGAGGAAAACTATTAGTGTATAATTTTGACCAAATAAAAAGCATATTTGATGAAAAAAGTTCTTACGATAAACATGTAAATAGATGTATGAATGTAAAAGAATCCAAATTCCATACCAAAATACGTATCCATTTTAAAATTTCGCTTAAAATCCATTCATATTTTAAAAATCAATAAAAAAGCATCGGAATTCTCTCAAGTATTTCCAACGTAGCGTCAGATTTCATTACATAAATACATTAAAAGGCGTTAAAAGCTTTTGTTTGTTAAACAGTCCGCCATTTTGTTTTCACGTAACGTAACAAGGTCTGTCCGGTCTGGAGAAAGCCAACCCTCTTAGATGCGTGAAATTATATGTATGGTTCAACTTTGTTTAGATTTGCATTTGTAAACAACATTGCATTCGTCTTCTTCCCCTTAATAAGATGTTAAATGAACACAAAACATATACTGTTATTGTAAGATATAAAATTCTAAATTAGTGAAAAATTAATTCGAATTATTCGACATAACTTCGTGCATCTTTAGCAAAATGTAGATAATAGATGGCGCTATTTAATTTATTAGAGACTGTCGGTTCTTTTTAGCCGACTTCAAAAATAAGGTTATCAATTCGTCTGTATTTTTATATATAAATACAGGAACGTCAAATTCCATACATCGCGACCTTTAGTATTACGAAATTTCACTATTGGATTTAGTTCGTAAATATTTTTGAGTAAAAGTTAATTACTTTTGTAAAATATAGAACTTTTAGTGCGACATTTCTTACAAATAATTATTAAGGATTCTTTATAAACTTAGTATAATTAACAAAGGTTGGTATTACACAAGTATTTCTCCAAAATAAACTTACAGTAAATGCGTGTACCTGTCATGTCGTCACCCACCGGTCAAACGAACGGACTTTCGCCGCAAGGCCGTGTAGGGCTGAGATGGACTTTCACTCGGAGGCTGAGAACTAGGGACGCCATGATGCCGCCGTGAGTTACGCGGAAAGTACCGTTTGAAACTGAAATGAAAAGTAGCTTAAGAACGACGGTATTACTTAAAATCGACGATAGAAGCGCTACTATATTGTCTTTGGTTCTGTCAGAATATTAAACCTACTTAGACAGAGAGAGATTGATATTTAAAAAAAAGAAAAAAATGATATAACAGCCAGTCCAAAGAGCATCTTGTAATATTTTTGACATTTGCTGAAGGGGGCTAGTGAAATGTCACAATTTAATTCGACTTATGCACACCGGGTAATACTTAGGTGTGCTAGGACCGCTTCAAATTGAAGTCTCTGCCTACTCCTCTGGGTTACGAGCGTAATGTTTGTTAGATTTAAAGTTTTCTTTAATTATTTACAGTATTATGTAATTTCGGTTTCGACCAAAATCTTTGTTTAAAACATATTTTTTACTCTATTTTATCAAAGATAATGACAAGGATGACGATATGTTTTATATATCGTTATATTATTGGTGTAAGAGTACAGTCAGACAATATTATTGTTTGTTTTTAATTAACCAATAACTACTTACATAAATTAATTAATAAATAAAATAATTTCCATTCTATTGTAAAACACGATTGTTATATATTTTTATTTATTATATGAATCCTTTTTATGTTTATTTAAAAGACAATATAATTATAATAATGTATCTCTAAACTATGTTTGTCGCTAAAAGGAATTCCTTTCTCTGTATAACTTAAAAAAAAAACAAATGTCAAAATGACAGTCCCGCTAAATTTTGAAAGATGGCGTTCCATTCCCGCGTAAGTTGCGTAACATTAAATACTGAGGCATTCCTAAATAATGATAGCATCTCGTTTCGTAACCTCACAAGTCCGGGATGCCATTGACATCAAAAAAATGCCGGGAAATAGCATCGGAAATGATAATTGTTGTCCATTAATTGTCTTTTATTGATTGGTATAAATAACTTTCTACGTAAATATTATTTTATATTTAAAAAAAACGTATCATATAATTTTGTCTCTGGAAGACAATTTTAGATAAAAGTAATGATTTGATTAGTGTTAATGTAGTCATATGACCCACTTTTTATCATTAATATGATAAATGCATAAATATGCAATAGTATAAAACTTGACTAATTTAAAAATCTTCCACATAACTTTCACAATATTATAAAATGTATATTTCTTACGTTCTAAGGTTGCCGATTAACGTCTAATAATTGGCGATAACTGCCATCTTTGAAAAATTACGTTTTCCGTCAGCGTGACGTAACTTTTTAAAATTTGTAGAAAGTAACATGCGAAATGTATTTATATTTGTTATTCCGTAATTGTTAAGTTTTAAAATGACACGTATTTCGTGTGATTTGTGAATCATGGCGGATATCCTTGTTATAAATTATGTTTAAAATATCGTAACATTTTTATAAGCCGTTAAAATGACGTCTTAAGAATACATCATCATCAACCTGCCCTTATCCCTATCGAGGGTCGGCACAGCATGTACTACTCCTCCATACATCTCTATCAGCCGTCATATCCGAGTCTACCCCCTTCTTACACATATCCTCTTTCACACAGTCATTCCATACTTTTTTTGGTCTTCCTCTACTCTTGTAGTCATCCATATTCAATCTCATTACTTTTTTGCTTATATCATCATCATCCCTCCTCATAACATGTCCAAAACACGCTAATCTTTTACTCCTCAATTTCTCGATCACTGGCGCTACTTTCAAACTTCCTCTAATATACACATTTTTAACTTTATCCTTCCTTGTCACGCCACACATCCATCTTAGCATACGCATTTCAGCTACATGCAATCTTAAGATACATCTTAAGACGTCTTAAGAATACATTTTACTTTAATTAGAATTCAAGTTCAGAGGCTTTGTTAAATATTCTTTGACAATGAACTAGATCGTATTTAAATTAAGTCTATGTAAATGTACTAATTTTATGTATTTAAATAAAAAACGTGATTATTTTTTATTTAATTAATTCACGTAATCCAGTTCAATTTAAGTAAAAATAGTTTTTTTTTTTAAATATTTAATACTAGTTTTTTTCACATACTTAACTTTCTTTTTACTGACACTGGCATAAACAATACGCGTGCCTTTGCTTCGTAAAAATGTCACACGCTCCGCGCCAAAATATTGTTTTGCATCAAAAACTGTCACTTTCAGATTTTCCGCGGTTATGCAAATCTTAAGAATTCCGACGACCGCACCCACACACATCTCAGACAAATAAAGGAGAAAACGAACTTTTAACGTCCTGCTAATATTCAATTAACAAATTTATGACATATCACAAAGGCATAAGGTTTATTTTACAATAAAATATTATAAAGATACTATGAACTTATCAATGAAAATAAAGTTCAATTATCACCACAGAGCAAAATAAACCATAAATGTATAGACAATTGAATATTTTTTGACACACGAAAGAGGTGCGATAATAAAAAATTAAAACAATACATATACAAAATAGCCTTTATTCCTACGTGATAAGGTTTAATTTCCTTTAATTGGTATATTAAGTAAACTCGTATGAGATACACTCTATCCTACTTTCTTTAGAAGAGGTTTCAAGACGACAGTCGTGGCTGTACGGTCGCGAGCTTTGCTCGCTGATTTAAAAAAAACGCTTCAATTAAAAGTTTGACAGTTTGAAGTAATCTGACAATTAAAACGGGCGGGAATTTGAAAGTTTGTGAGTGAATCGTGTTTTTATTAACTTTATTTTTGGTGTTGGTGCATTTGTTCGTGTTTGGGATAAAATTTCAAACATTTCGGGAAAATGGTGAGTTTTTATTTTTTTTAAATTGATAGTTACTTTTAAAAGATCAAAGATATTTTCATTCAGCCGTTTAAATAATTAATCAAAATATTTGATTTGAAATTAAATTAAATTTTAGAATTACTTTTTATTTTATAATTTTATTTAATCATTTTAAAATAAAATAAATGATTGAATTTTATTTTTTCGTCAGAAAGAATTTTGTGCAACAATTTTTTTTTTCAAAAATCGATTTTTAAATCTTTAAATAATGTTTTTATACAAGTAAAATAACGATATTCATGAATAACAATATTGTAGTTAATTTCAAAAATGAAAATACTTACATACAAGCTTACTTATCAAGTAAAAGAAATAAGTTGTAAGCACAAACCGGCCCTCAACTTAGTATCCGGTGTTTCCGGCAAAGCTCTCTCCGACGTGAGCACTCTGGAGACTTTATTCAGAACATTGACACACAGTTCTAAGAATCAATTGTAGAGGAATATTCTCTATGACCACTAATCTCTATAAACGGATAGGACATTATTTGAAAATGATAGCTTTTAATTCTTTATTCTAAGTTCAAATTTTCAACACCGCTACCAACCAAGCGTTAGCGTCAAAATGTAGAAAATCGAATAGGCACAAAATATCCCGACTTATAGCATGTCCATTATATAGATGTAAATACTGACCGTCTTTAACCAACTAACGATCGATATTTTGTAGTTCCAAATATTACTTCTTACTAATATTATAAAGTAGAAAGATTTTTTTTTACATTATAAGGTGGCAAACTTGCGAGCGGCCACCTGAAACCGCTGAAATAGCGAAGTGACCGTTGCCCATAGATTTGCAATTGCATATGCGTTGCCTACCTTTAATCGACGGAGGAGAGGATGCACAGAAAGAAAATATCTTACCTTCCCATACATCCTCTCATCCGGAAAGTCCACTTCCACTACCCATCCTTTCAAGGAAAAGAGGACTAAATTAGGCCTCCCGGACGCACACTCATCAGACTGTAGTTGAAATTGCTTCTACTTGAGGCGTGTCTTCTGTGTGGTCGTGGTATTTCACTGAGCGAGCCGGGACAATTCGTGCGAACATGTTAAAGCGGTCTCTACCACTGTTAAAGACTGTAGATTATATGGATGGATGGATGAATAGATGGATATTTTAACGGATCTAGATGAAATTTGGTACAGACGTAGAACATAGTCTGGAAGAACACATAACTTATTAAGTTTTGTCCTAATAACGCGCGAACGGAGTCGCAGGTGACAACTATTAACCTATATGTCTAGACTTTATATGCATGTCCAGATTAGGACTAAGTATTCTTCCAGACGATGTCATTTTTTACCATAGATGAACGGGGAAATGCCGCCATCCTCTTGGGAACCTTACCGTGCGACCGCAACGATTTGGGATCGATTTTTTTATATTATTTAGTTTGGTTCAGTTTTAGTATATAGTTTATAGTATTATATTGGTAGTTAAGCTGCATACAAATTTGTCGTAAGTAACCTGGTTG